ATATATATATATATATATATATATATATATATATATATATATATATATATCAAAGAATGTCTTAAAAATTAAAGAAAAATATAATTAACTCTATCTTAATCCAAACCTGAGGGGGATTGATAATAGGGGTACTCAAAAGGCTTCCATAAACACCACCATTGGATATTGTAAGAGTGCCTCCAGCCATCTCATCAATTGATAAAGATCCATCATTTGCTTTCTTGGCAAAAGCATTGATCTGTTTTTCTATATCAGCAAAGTTCATGGTATCAGCATTGCGGATAACCGGCACAACAAGACCCTGGGATGGCAATTGAGGATTAGAGTTTGTTAGAAAAACATGCATGTCAATAATTTTCATACCAACAAAAAATACAAATAAGATATATATATATATATATATATACACACACACTAGACTACTTGTTAATTAGGTCCATAGCCATGACAATAGTTGATGAAAGTACAAATGGCTAAGTTTCATTAAGAGTACATGATACGGGTTTCTCTTCGTAATAAAACCAAGTAAATGAGAAAAGGAAAAGGTGAATGATAACAACCTTTGGAGTACCAACAGCTATACTGATATCTATATAATCTCTGTATATAATATCATCCCCATCGATGACTGCATTCACAATTGGCTGATATTGGAGTGCATTGACAGCAGCCTAACATGGAGACCATAAAAAGTATGAGACGAAATAAAAAGAGAAAGCCCAGCTAGCCAGTACTTCAATAATTAGAAAACATACTTTAACAAAGCCAGACATAAGCCCTAATTTGACTCCATGCTTTTCAACAAAGGCGTCCTTATAATCAGCACGGAGCTTCATCAAATTAGTCCTATCATTAAGAGCAGACAAATTAAGGGAGAGAATAACAATTGCAATACACTGTATAAGGACTTGACAGGAAACACAACATCAAGAATCAAGAATTAAACACAAGGAGTCGCTCTTTTCTATTCTGTCAAGTCTACATGATAACTGAATTACATCCCCTCAAATGTCAATCCATTTAAAGCAAAAAATTCATCCATTAACAATTTTTTCATGGATGAATATCCATTTCATCCATAAAAGTAATGTTTTAAAAATTAAATAATTTTTAATGTTGAAATATTTTACTTTTTTTTTATAAGTCATTACATTCTTATATAGTCTTTTAAAATGCACAAGACTTTTCTTTCACGTCAAAACAATCTTTTAAAATCTCAATCCAATAAATACCTCACATTGTAATCCAATAAATTTTGAAAAAGTAAGGAATTAATCACTAACCATTCATAAAATTAAATCGATAGATTGGATCCAATCATTATTTATTTTTATTGTAATAAATGGATTGGATGGAATTATTTTTGGATAGATGATAGATAAATAGATTCATTTACCACCCCTGTCACGGACCAAGAAAATTAACAGAAATGACAAGAATTTCATATGTATTGTAGCTATGACAGATAAACCGTGGATTGAGGACTTCATTAAATTTAGACAATTGTTCCACTGGAACCATCACTGAATTACAAATAATAGTGAATATTTAAGCACACAGAAAAAAAAAATACAGCTTGAGCAATATTCAAAGCTTTTGCTACAATTTAACAATCAAAAAACTCACATATCAACTTCATTGAAGGTTGTCAGCATAGCAAACGTGTTTTGGGAATCTTTCAGCCGTGTAGCAACTCGTTTCCGAAGCCTTGTCATAGGAACCTTTGATAACAATGGAAAACATCAAAACAACTTTCATGGTTACTAAATATAATTCAGGTAGGACTAAAAATCACAATGACTAACTCGTCTTTCTCTTTCTTTAGGAGGAAGCTGGGGCTCGGTGGGAGACTTCAGAGTGGAAGGAGGTGCTTTGGGCTTCTCTGTAGCAGGAGCAGTTTCAACTTTGGGTGCTTTCTTCTCCTCGGTAACCTTTTGGGTTGGCTTTGGAGCAGCTTTCTCAGAAGTAGTCTCAGATGGGGCAACGTGAGTTGCATCAGCAGACCTTGAAATGATTGCTATCTTATTACCTGGTTCAACAGTATCACCTTCGTTGGCTAGAAGCTGCAAATTATTAAATAGATCACACAAGCCAAATTTAATAAAGGAGAAAGAAAAGAGTAATAACTTTTATCATTTTGGGATGGTTTGAGAGGAGTAAAAACATTTTAAACCTATGAAACGGTACCTTGAG